TCGCGTGAAAAAAGATGTGGGCTTCACGCGGCTTTTTTCCAGAAAATTCATGATTAAAACTCGCGGACACGTATCACGGAGCTCGGGATGCGCGCGCGGGAGATAATTCGAACATGCGAACGTGAGACGCGTCCGTAAATCGCGTCGACGGGATGAAAGACACGCGACCGTCTGTGATGTGTGTGTGTGTGTGTGTGTGTGTGCCAGGCGATAAATTTCCGATTGACGATGCTGCGGATCGCGCGCTTGTACCTCCAAGTACTTTCCACTTTTCTCTCCGGCGGAGGCTTATGGAAAAAGTTCCATGCCGGTGGTCGTCGTCCTTCTGATTTCTCTTCGCGTGCGTGTTGACGAGAGGAGAGAACGATTCAGCCGACGGCCTAATGCCGCGGAAATATCGCTGTCTCGTGATGCCACCAATGATTTTCCTCTCGCGGGACGAGCGGCCCGCGAACGCTCGCGAGATTAGTAATGGCTAATTGGAGCTAATTATGACGTTCGTTAAAGGGGAGCGAAGAAGCAGAATGAGACAAGCAGCGAATGTGGCCAGCCACCCATACAAATGAAACAAACGTCGCATTTCATTCAATCCGTCGTCTATGAGACTTGTACAGTAATATTCAGCGGAAGAAATGTGGAATAAAATTGTTCATACCTTTTAATTTCTCATTAATACTCAAGGAAAACCAGGATTTTTTAGAATGTCAATGACTAATGGGATGTCGACAACATTGTGGGTGTTTACTTGCTACTATCTCTACTTGCTCTTTCGGTATGGAGTATTAAAAAAAAAAAAGAACTCGATCGGGCTACCGTTCGACGCGCGAATTCACATTCACGGTCGTGATAGCGTGTCAGTCAGTGGGCGAACGGCGGCCAATCGACACCGATAAATGACTCGTAATTAAAGACCATTCACACGGCCGGCGATACAAAGTGAGATTACGCGACGGGCTCTAATGAATGTACGATGCACCGTCAGTCAATCTTTGCTCTCCTGGCGAAAACTCGCGCTCGTTGCTAAACCGATGGCTTTCCGGTCCGAGTATAATTGAATGCAATGATGTGCCGAGTGGCGTTCCCCGATATTAAGCAAACACGCTAACGAATATCATTCATGGTTATTTACAACGTCAATCAAATACAATCAGAATCGACGTCTCGCTATAACACAATGCTATGATTACGAGCTGTAATTGATGTACAAAACGGTTGTTATCGTAGCGTTATCGCGGAAGACTCACACTAAGAGAAAAAAATCGTAAAATTAGTAAATATTTCTTTGGTTGGGAATACCAACAGCGCAGATTGACTTAAATTTTTTTATTCGAGCAGAATAAATGATTGATCTTTTATGAAAAATTAAGATTTTCCGAAAGATTTTCAAAAATCTATTTTCTCTAACATGACAAATATTTCATATTAGTGTAAGTGAATATGCTGTTGATATCCATCAAATAAATATTCATCGTGCAATTTCCACGACTCCCTATTTTCATCTTCGACTCGCTGGTACACCTCTGCGATTTTTCAATGAGATCACACCGTGTCGGTCGGCCGGCCTCGACTCGCGCTGATAATTTATCAGCCGACAGGTTGTCACTTAATATTGATCGATCGCGCAGTCACGCGGAAGCGAGCAAGCAGGCTTACATTCGCGCACCATAAAGACGGATCATCTTTCTATTGCCGGTCGCGGCGCAATTGTGGTTATACCCTTCGCGCGGAACAAGTGGAAAGGTCGAGGTGGGAAGGCACGTAAGACGCTTTCGCGTAGCGGTGCAGGGATCAAAACTTTTCAGCCAACCAGCCAGCCAGCCAGCCAGCTAGCTAGCCAGCGGGCGTCTCATAATTTATTCCCGCGCGAAAAGAGAGGAGAGGGACACTTGGAACGACGTGCCACCGAGCATAAAGAGCGTAGGGATCTCTCTCCCTTCTTTTTTTTCGCACGTCCCCTTTTTTATATTCGCTCGGCCGCGTCACAAATCTCACAAACGAGCCGGGACGTATTACTACTCTACCGCGTCCGGAGTCTTCCTTACGCGCCTTTCATCTTTCTTCCGTCTAATTACCGCGGTACGACGACGTCGTACAATTCGCGACGTTGTTCGAGCCGCAATGCGTGATATCTGACGAATAGTCCCGACTGAGTTCCGTGCTCCTGTGATCAAGTGGGTCCCAATCAGATATCCAGTTTACATCATACTTGATGTTATCAAGTCCTAATTATTAACGATCCTTATTATTGATAAGATCCTGATTGTCACGCTGCGTTACATAACTTATCAGAGCAGCAACGTCACTCTATAGAAACCAAAGATAACTGATTGAAATCAGTCTGTGGAAATCAGGATCATGGGACAAATTTCTAGCCGGGATTAAACACAGTCGAGCAATAATCGCGATAGTCACAAGCGGAGTAATTTAGAGTCACTGCAGTGACTGAGAGAGAAAGAGAGGGAGAAGGGAAGGGGGAGGGGGAGTACACGAGCCGCTGGGAACCATATGGAATTCATGTTCGACTACGTGGGAGCGCGTTGCGCGGATTAAAATGGGATTGTGTGTAACAACGGCGGCGGAGGAGGGACAGGATCGTGATGTACGTTTTTTAAATTAACGACCGACACAGTCGGTGGAATTCCGGCGCGCGTGAGCGGCGCGGGAAGTTCACGTTTCTGCCGGCACCACGTGTTCTGCGTAATTGATGTCCGATCGATCGCGTCAGATAGACACGTTGCGCTACGATAACGCTTCATGAGATCGGAAATAAATCGCTCGCGATAAAATTGACCGATTCCGCTTATTCGCCGCGCGATCACAATGCGTCTCGATCGCGGGACTGCAGTCTCATTCTGCAAGAATATTGCGCGCGCCAATTTTTCCAGAGTCCTAGAGACCGCAAAGGAGGAGATAATCTCGCGTATCTAACTTGAAATGTTGCACGAAGGTAGACTATTCGCACACGGAAAGAAAGTCTCAGTTTGTGCAGCTGAATAAGGACCAGATGAAAATTCGACGACATGAAATGATATCTCTGTTATCGCGACTGAAAGCCATTATCTAAACATGTATTAAGGGGGTGCTGGAGTCGATGACGAACTCGAACAACGTCGATAATGCAGAGACGATCGTCACTACCATAATCATGCTATCCTTTTCGTATTTCTTGTATATACAGAATTTATATGAACGTGTGTTGTTTTTTGCACCATATTCAACGCAAACTCAACCATATATGTGTAGAAATCTTTCTGCAAACTTTTTCGATATTTTTAAGCTTCCAAATGCAGATGCGAAGGTAGAGCAATGTTTTTCAAAATTTTTCTGTTTCCATACTTTCGGTATGACAAGCTTGCGGAACTTTTAGATTAGACAAATATTACGCTGACAGCTTGAGGCTTTACATTAAACATTTTTTTGTTCGTTTTCGACACATATCGAGCAATGCTCTTATTTATTTTTGCACGTACTTTCATTGCGTAAAAGCATTTGTAATTCTGTGTAATCAATACGACGTGAACTTTGCAGAAAAATGTCAGTGTTCTGTCAGTAAAGTTTTCAGTTTCAGCATCCCCTTAATACTTGGCCGCAATAACTGAGAACAATTGACTGAATAGAAGCCTCGTATACAGGGATCTGTCTATCCCTACAATTGAATTTTTCATCTGGTCCTTATTTTTATCAGACAACGGAAGATTCAGTTACATACAAAATATGATTCTCTGCTGAGGTAAGCGATTTCTCAGTCTACCTTCGCATTCGCGCGCCACAATTCGGAAGAGCGAACACGCGCTCAATGAGATCCGAAGGGGCTAAATTCCGGGCTCGAGGACGGGACGGACGGCGAGTCGATCGACGATCGATCAACGTCCATATTCGCGCCTAAGTGCATCGCGTCTGGATGCACAGCGTCAATAAGATCGAAAGTGGAGCGAGTCGCGCGGGCGGCTTCTCGAGCCGAGTGTTTTAAAGCACGGCGCGACGGAGCCCGTGAATCAAATTGCGCCGGTTAATCCCGATGGTAATTACGGGTAAATTCAATCGAATTAATGGCTGTGCCGGTGCGTCGCGTGAGTTATCGCCGGCTGCCAGGGACAGGGCTGGACTTCGTGACCCGGTATCGCGTCGGTCCCCGATATTGGCAGCACCTCGGAGTCTCAGAAACGAGAGGAACAACGGTCCGACGTCGCGGTGTTATCTTTGACGCTGCCGATCCCTCGTGTGATCGGCGAAATTTCGTTATTTCCTCTCGCGCGGAGCAGATTTCTGTCAAAAACGATCGCCGAGTGCTGATCGATAGTTTGTCACGCGGGATCCTCGAACGGGGATTTTTTCCCGAGATTTCCCGAGATGTGATTGGAATACCTAACTTGGTCCTAAATCTTCGCATTTCGCGAAGAAACGACACGTTGTACGCGTCCCTCCAATGCCGCGTACTTCGCAAGCGTCTTCGGCCGTGCAAGCGTAAGGCGCGCGCTTTATCGCGTCCGATTTTATTTCCGTTTCGTTGCGGACAACAACAACGCGCGGACGGCGCACGTCGCCGGCATGCCCGCGCGAAGCGATGAATTTTTGCACGCGCGAAGTGACGTTGCATCGTCAGCGCATGCTAATGGACTGCGACGTTTTTACAGGCGGGGCTAAAAGCCCTGGCCCATAACGGTGACGTTTTGCACGCGCACTATTTATACTTGTGCGCTATTAACCAGCTGATACGAGACCGGGCTGAGCGGGTGAGCGAGGAGGGAACGTTAGAAATCCGCACTCTCTTAAGAGAAATCAGGAAAGATGTTTCCGATCAAGGAAAGGAGCGTATCACCGATAATCGGTGTATACACAGGAAAAAAGAATATTCTTGTTTGGAGATTATATTTATTGTTATAATTTGTATTGTACAACTTGTATTTTTATTTGTATAATTCGTATTGTTAATATTTATTGTTGAAGTTTTAAAAGTAAGATTAATGTTAATAAGATTATATTGAACCAAGATAAATTAGTCTTCAGACAAGACGAATATAGTCAAATTAACATAATCATTTGTTTATAGAACATTACAATATTACAATATTTTAATATTCTTGGTTATAGAATATTATTAATCTACAATCAAGTCAAATATAGTCAAACTAAACACAATCATTTTCTTATACATGACTAATAATATTAATATTCTTGCTTATATATGAGAAAATGATTGTTCATGAACAAGAATATTTTTTTTCTGTATATTCATTGATTTTGGAAGTCACCGGTTCCATCTTACGTCTCACTGAATCGGATCGCAAAATTTGTAGTGCACAAATTTGTCACACCGTGTCAAATCCAACTTTTCGCGTTTATGGCGATGGAATCAACAGCTTCCGTACGATCTGCATGCAATGACATTGTTTGTGTTTGCCAAGTGCGTCAATAACGATACACGGAAAAAAAACGTTTAGTCGGATCAATTTCCGGTGAAATATGAACGAGCCATTCCGGTTGAGGTTATCAGAATTTCTAGTTCGTCCGTATTTCACCAGAGAGATTTGGTTGATCCAACCGAACATTTTTAACAGTCATTATTAACCGATCTTCTCGGCGAAATTTTGGTTGCGCTGTATTCGATGTTATAATTGAATCACCAATTGTAATTATAGTGTTATAATAAAGAATACATTGATTGCGCTTTAAAAGAAGGGAAATGGGGCGCGTCGATATCGACGTCAAAGCTGGGAAAATAATTCGTGATTTCAATTTAACTCGACGAGTTATCACTTTACATTAATTTTATCGAGAAAAGGGAAATTAATATAACGTATTCTCTGGCAAATTCCGCGGAGCGAAACTCTACGTTAATCTGAAGACGCCCGTCAGGATCTAATTACCGAGAGCCGCATCCGCTAAAATTAAGTAGCTCAAATTCCAACGTTGTATTTTTACCGGGAACTTCACGCCTGACACACTTCGACAGAAAGAACCGTCAACCGAGTATCCTCCTTCTACTCGTAATACCCGTTTGTGTTCGTGAAGCAGACATCTTTCTCTTTCTTTTCCTCAAAACGCAAATTCCTCTCCGCCGAAAATCCGCATGAAAAATTTTCTCATTCGCAACTTTTCGCGCGGCGAACGAAAATAAACTGCGTCTCGCAAGATTCACTCGACTCGCGGGGACAATCGTCGGATAAGTGTCTCCTCAGCGTCGATAACAGTGAATCCGCCACGGGAAAGAGTAGGAAGTCGCGCGTTCGCGATTCCGTGCCGATCTCGAGAGCTCCGAGACGCAATATCCTCCGACACGGGTCCTTCTCGCGGGACAGTCCTTGGAGGATTTGACGACGGAGTAAAATCTCTGTGCGACGTAGGTGGCACGAGAGAGAGAAAGAGAGAGAGAGAGAGAGAGAGAGAGAGAGAGAGAGAGAGAGAGAGAGAGAGAGAGAAAGGAAGAGCCGGAGGAACGAGGTAGCTCAGCGACAGCGAAGGCGGCGACGGCGACGGCAACGACTCGTACGATGCACGGGAAACAATCGCGAGCAAAAGCGACAATAATGACGGCGTTAGAGATAAGTGCAAACCCCGACAATAAATATGCAAGACTGATATCGCTGGAGGAAAGGATAACACTGCCCGTGTAGAAGGAGATAGCGACGTATCGATTGCGCGGCGAAATATCCCCCTTCGCTTCCCGCGCCGCTCGACGAAACGCTCGTGCGAGAAACTTCGCGCCAGTACACCGCCGGTATCTTCCGACGTGAGGAGTACTTGGAGTGTACCTGGCGGAGTACTTGGAATATCGACTAACCTACGGGAGCGAGCGGAGGTGAACATGGAAATCGCGTGCAGCGCGCCTCCCTCCGGTCGCGGCTCCGTCAACGTTTCTGCCGCCCTGTGGTGCGCGAGTTCCTAGGCGAGGCAAGCAGCCGACCAAGAGAAACGAGAAGAGATGTCACTGAATCACAGATATTACGTAAGTATCGGATTGCCTGTCGAAAATGAGAGAAAACGTGTCGCGAAGATAAGCCGCGAAACGAGCGAACATACGCGCGGATTTATCGTTCTCCTCCCTCTCTTTCTTTCTCTGCTTCCCTTTCTCTTTTTGTTTTTTCCGAAATAGCAATGAATGCCGTGGATTTTCGCGGCTTCTGAACCTCGAAACGTTCATCTAGAAGACAAGCTGTTTTCCCTCGCGCGCGCGCGTGCAAAAAGTACATACCGACTCGTACTCGTTATATTCATCTTTGCGCGAGCAAAAGTTTTTAGTTACGAGAGAGATCCGCTGAAGAAGCATTCTCGTCGCTATCAACTTTAAAGTCGGTTAGTGGGTTGGACAGCGCGCGTCGAAAGTGGGAGATAAATATTAAAGGAGAATTTAACCGAGACACAATTGCAAGTGCAAGCGAACACAACGGTCGGCGTTATCACACGCGAGCGGCGCGCTATCAGTCACACGCATCCCCAAAAAGTCGCTCAATTACTGCGCCTCGTCATGGAGACGCTCGTCTTTTTATCGCCAGACGTCCACAATCGCGAACAATAACTGGCGCACTCTGTACGGTTTTTCAGCAGCGACAACTCTCCCGTTTTCCTCCGTCGCGCAAATTACGTTGCTCCAGTTAATAAAGTATGCCGAGATTACGGCTGTTTCGCGCCGCACAATGTGGCGTGCTCGGCGACAAATTCGAATCTCTCCGCCGTACGGTTATTGTTCGCAATGGCCGTAGCCAGGACATAATAGATAAGCGTGGACCTCGTAGGCCAGCGCGCGTCGCTGCTACTAGATATCGACCGCTCTGTCTCCTATCCTTCCTGTGCATCTCCCGTGGCGCGACTGCATCCGAGAAATTAAAACTGTCCTTTCTGCAACCTCCTTACCCACCCGCCCTAGCGTCGCAACGATGCGAGATATTTCGCACTTGCCGCGCACGTGTCGCGAATATTTAAACGCAACTCGAATAACTTTCCGTCTCTCGCGCGGGGAGCGCGACACGGTATTCTCAGTGTTTTTCTCTGCTTCTCTCGCAAGAATCGTTCAGAGAAAAGTTAAGAGCGAGTTTTCCGAATGTAGGACTTGATGGGGAGAGAACAAGAACAAAAAAAAAATAAATAAATAAAAAAAGAAAACGAAGAAAAAGGTAATGCCGATAAGAAGCGAGCGCTCTCGTGTGAGATTGCGAGGCCGTTCTTAAAACGAGATCCTCGAGGGAACTACTTTTCAACGCGAAATCTCCCCGAGAGAGACCCGAAAAAATTCCCCGCCAATCTTCCCTTCTTTCGAGGAAAAAATCCTTCGAGCATGCCGAGCTTCGTGAGTCTCGTCGAGTTCCGATTAGAAATTTATCTTGTGGTCCTGCCGAGACGTTCATCCCAATCCGTTACCTGCTTTCTATAAGATGATGCTCGGATCTTGATAAGATATAACGCAGCATAGCAATCAGGATCTTATTAATGATCAGACTCTGACAATATCATCTTGCACAGTGAGTTGCACAACGGTTTAGACACAATTAAGGGAGCCCTCACACCAAGCTGTCAAAATTGAGAATCATTACTGCGAAAGACTTACTTACTAGTCACGATAATATTATAATTAATAATATAATTAGAAATACTAAATAATAATATTTAGTAATACTAACGATAATTACTAATATAATTATTGAGCAAACCCGTCAGTAATAACTCTCTGAATTTTAAAAGTTTTTTTATGAAAACTCCCAGCTTTATTGTGTCTAGATTGTCTTGCAAGCCACTGTACGAATGAGGTAACTGATTGAGATCAACTTGATTAAAAGCGTGCACGGGAAAAAGTTTAGTTGAATAAATCCGTTCTTAGTGAAATATGGACGATTTTGAAATTCCGGTTATCAGTCGAAATCATCCAGATTTCTGGTTAACAGAATTCTAGCAATCCAATCGGAATATCTGAATCGTTCATACCTCACTAGAAGTTTGTTTATCTGACCAAAGCTTTTCTTCCGTGTGTTCAATAGGAATGTTTATTCAGCGTGATCGTGTAATTGCGCCGCACGCGATTATATAACCGGTACAACCGCCTTCAGCGCATTGATATTTGTTTTTCTTCGACGTAACATCGGAAGCACCTCCCGTCTCTCGTCGAATCGGCCACGTCCGCAGCGCAAGAGAGAGATTACTTATGCATGTGTCTTGTATATATAAAATATTTCTTTTTCTCTCTCTCTCTCTCTCTCTCTCTCTCGTGTCGTACGATATACGTTATTATTATTATCCTTCCGTGCTCGGCGAGCGCGACGTAGCGCGCATCAAAGAGCGGCTGCACCGGCATATGCGAGCGGACGTATGAAATATAGCGGTAAAAGTGTCGCTGACACGCTAGAAAAATCGCTACTGCGCCCGAAGGAATAAATTATCGATATACGGACATGTGTCCCCGTCGCCCACTTTTCTCTATGACCCATCGCGCAGCTGAGTTCGCGAAGTTAAAGCGGAGCGCGCGGAACTCCCTTAAGAACGCCGTCGATACCGTGTCGAACTTGCTGAACCGGACGGTTCTCTTTCTTTCTTCTTTTTATTTTAGTATCGATCGTTGAAAGGCCCGTTAGAGCTGCCGCGGATACGTCCAGACGATTATTATAGTGACGCAAAGGAACGACAGCAGCGACAGAATTACTCCTGCGCGCGTAAGGATTCAATTATCCGAATGGTGATTGGACGATCGATCGCAGGGATACATTCCGTGTCTCTCTTTCTCCGACTGAGTAAATTATTAGTGATAACAACGGCGGAATTTTAGGCACTGAAGACACACTTGGTGTACGATCATGCATGATCGCGTGACGTGCCGTTGCCTCGTTTCAAGGAGTTTATTCACTTAAAATACTCGAAAATTATACGAAAATTTTACGTGACACAGCAAAACGTTCTTTGTATCAATTGGTCGGAGAAATGCTGTTTTGAGTGACATTGCATTGCACAAAAAAAATGATTGATCTAACTAAAATTGTACTTATTTTTGGCTCCAGTCATAACTTTTGTTGTTCCGATACGAAAATAATGATAACAGTATGCAGATAAAATTACATTATCATTAACATTATAACAGGATTTGTTAAATAATTGTTCTCCTGATCATAACTTTTAATAATTACTTCTCTGTGTGGTTATAGTTACCAAACGTTTCTTTCTCAGCGAAAGAGTGGCAAGGTAGCATTATGAAATTAGTTTGAAATCAACGTTTATTATTTAGGTAGCGAGATAAATATGCAAAAATGCAATTTTGCTCAACAAACAGTGAATTTATGAGTGGCTCCCTACAAATACACATTACAAATACGTCTCTTGGGTGAACAAAAAATACATAGCTGGTGAATAAACTCCTTAATGAGAAACGATCAGTGCGCTCGACCGTTCCCACGGGGGAGAGAGAAAGAGAGGGAATCGGTGGTGCTGAAGGTACTTGAAAAATAAAACAATCGCGACGCGCGAATGCGATTGAATGACAGGCTCGAGCGAGTGTCACGGTGGAAAATGATAGAGGCGCATTGCGCGGATTTTACGTTAACGTGTGTCCGTCGCCCGTCCATTAGTAGCCCCAGTCTATTAGAGACGAACGGCGACGGTAATAGGTTCGGGTCTTTTAAGACACGCGGTGTTCCGCGAATTCTGCTGCGAGGACATGAAAGCCTTTATTGCACGTCGGCAAGAATACTTAGCACTTTAACGAACAAAGACCGACGGACATCAAAGACTTTGTGTTGGCAGCTAATGAGAAATTATTATATAGCGTATACACACATATATAAAGGCCGTTTCGGTGTTTGTGCAGTTCTCTTCGAGGACCGCAACGATGGACGGCATCTCGCGAGAATCGTAGTGACGATCGCGGATTCGGCGGCCTAGCACGTCAAATCGCGCGAAATATTCATTTCCACGGAGAGACATTAATCTCGTGGAACGCGCGCGATTTGCAAGTGATAGACTCTCTAAATTTCTTGGAGTGAAAAGTGTTTTCCACGCGAGGCGTGGAACAGCGGAAATACCAGAAGAGTGAACGAGTTTCACTCAAGATCGGAGTGGATTCTGACTCCGTATGAGCGAGTGTTTCAATCGACTATTGAGTGAATATGTCTCTCTGACGGTGCAATGCGTCAGATCCACTCTTCAATTTCGAGTGAAAATATTCACTCGACGGCTCAGAGTGGAGAATTCACTCTGTACAAGTAAAAAATAACTCAAATTCGAGTGACTTCGATGCACTTTTCGAGTGAAATTTCATTCCAAGAAATTTAAAATAGGGACAAGTATGATTCCGGTCGTCGTGTAGTTTTCTCAGGAATGCCGGACGAAAATCGCAGACACCGTCTGCGTCTCACACACGCAGAACACATGTTATGGTAATTACTGTAAGAAAAATTACTGCAAGATCTTGTGACCGAGGAATAGATCGACATTCTGCAGCAATTATTCTTTCATTTCACATGTACTTACATTTTAAAAATTAAAATGTGTTATCAAAACATTTGCTATTTTTGTAGTGAAATTTACCATGTTTCTTAGCAAAATAGACCTCACCAACAGTCTATTCCTGGACTACTAAAGAACTACGTAGTAAAATTGAAGAAAATTTATGAAAAAAAAAGAAAAAACTATAATACTTTCTCCGTGCAGAAGATAGTCGCCTCGCATGTCGTACTGCAAAACTGCGAATCTCCTCGTGAAAATATTCATTTCTAAAGACACGTTAATTTCGCGAGACGACTTGCGAATTATAGAGGGTATCATTTTCGTGCAGTCGTGCAATCTCTTTGGGAATGTTGGATAGTACTTCGCGAAAATCGGGGCGGCGTTCGCGAATTTTCAGAGACACGGTGCTTCGCACGTCGAATTTCAAGGTGATGTTCGGTTTTTTGAAGATGAAAATATTCAGAAATACATCTACGGAGTCACATTAACCTCGTAGAGCGCGCGCGAATTCACGAGGATACATTT